TACTCTTTTCTCTCCTGAAATGTCTGAAGCTCGCATGTCCTGGGCCAAAAATAGTATTCTCACCACTGTTGTTGATGACTTCTTCGACTTTGGAGGATCCAGAGAAGAGTTTGAAAGTCTTATTTCGTTGGTTGAGAAGTATGTGCTATTTCCTTTTTGTTTGAGCTCCACTAGACGATTATATTAAAAGTTCATTAGGTACAAAGTTATCTTTCTTGCATTTTAACAGGTGGGATGGAACCTGGAAAGAAGAGTCCTGCTCTGAACAAGTTAAGATTATTTTTTCTGCTCTGTTTAATACAATAAATGAGCTCGGTATTAGGGCATCTGCATTGCAGCGGCGTGGCATCACCCACCATTTAGTTGAAATAGTGATATCAAATCCTTCTCTCCCTCTGTCTTTTCTCCTTAAGGGAGAAGGTTTTGACAAATTATTTGATTTCAGTGGCTTAGTTTGATGAAGTCCATGATGAAAGAGGCAGAGTGGACACTCAACAAAGAAGTTCCATCGCTGGATGAGTACATGTTGAATGGATGTCTGTCCTTTGCTGGAGGACCAGTTTTCCTCCCAGCGCTCTATTTTGTTGGGCCACAGCTTCCTGAATATGTTGTCAATCATCCAGAATATCAGAATTTGCTCAAACTAGTAAGCACATGTGGGCGTCTTCTTAACGACATACGAGGTTTTCAAGTAAGATTTTCTTTATACAAATTATCCTTACAATTAACAAATACTGTATGAAATCACAAAAACTTAGGGTGTGGCATTGTTCAATGAGTTATATGTTTTGTTGCTAATTGTGTTTAGAGCATGGTATACAATTTCGAATAATACCGTCCGGTACGGGCGGTATATACCGGTCCATCAGCTTATCGATACATGGACCGTCACTTACCGGATGGAACGATATATATATATATATATATATATATATATATATATATATATATACCGAGCGGTATATCGTTCGGTATATAGTATCGTACCGTACCGAGCGAATGTCGAAATTTCAATACGATATGAAATTGCATACCTTGGTTTAGAGTATATTCATGGACAATTATGGAAAAATTATAATGCCTATTGTCATCTGTATGTTAGGGTTTGTGATCAATCATGTTATACATTTATCCTCAGAAACATAATCTACATCTTTCACTTGGTCATGTTAGAATCATGGTTTGAATGATATTTTACACTTAGAAACATGGTTCCGGAATCTTCAGTTTGGATTTTAAGCAGTAGTTCTTTCTCACCCGTAAGAATACTTTCATCCTGCCAACTTTTGTTCCTTTTTTTGCCTTCATTCTGGACTGTTAAATATGCCTTGAAATTGCTATATATTAAGCTCTTCCTTTGTTCTGTGAAAAAGGCCACATTTTTTTTCTGATTTAATCATGTGGCATGCTGCTTCATTTGTTTTATCAATTGTATACAATAAGATCTTTCTTCCTTTGAGGGGTTTCCTATTTCCATTCTCGAAATCCTGTATTTCATTGCTTGATCTTTGTTCCTTTTGAGTGGTTTCCTGTTTCCATTCTGGAAACCCTGTAATATTTACTTGCTTGACTGCAACTAAATGCTGTAATTGTGAAACCCCCATATTTGTGAATTTAGCAGACGTGCTGAGGAAAAGGATGACCATTGTAAGTTGTATGATGATTCGAAAGATAGATTTAGTGACATCTGTGCTGTTAATCATTGTTTTCTTGTGAGTTTACTCTGTTGCTGTCGTTTAACTTATTCTAAACTATCATCATTACATGGGCAGAGAGAAGGCAAGGAAGGAAAGTTGAACAGCGTGTCACTACGTATTCTTCAGTCATGGTTCGGCTTCGGAAGAAGAGGTGAAGAAAGAGATGCAAAGGGCCATCGACGGGAGTAGGACTGAGCTCTTGAGGCTGGTGCTGCAACGAGATGGAAGTGTCGTCCCAAGGCCTTGCAAGGATCTCTTTTGGAAGATGTGCAGGATCCTGCATGTCTTCTACATGAAGACCGATGGATTTACTTCGCCAAACGAGATGCTTGGCGCTGTGAATTCAGTCATTCATGAACCACTAAAGGTCAGCCACCTGTAATGGAATTCATGGGGAATAAATGGAGGAGCTTGATGGTTTTTTATCAGCTGTTGTTGCTTTGATGTGTCGACCAGTAGTCGGCACGGCTCAATCTTGACCCGAAAGCGAGAAATCGTCCGTATAACCATCATGACGATCTTATGAGGTGCTTGTGTGACATTGAGGTGTTTGAGATGGTCTGCGGATAGTCTTCGAGTAATCGAGGTGGTTCCGAGGTGAGGCCTAGGTGGGTTCCGGTCTCCTCGAGGATCTTGCACAAACGTCTATGTTGGGAGGATTTCTCAATTAAATCTTTCCTATGCTCAAGTTAGTATTAAGGAATTGTATGGGTGTAGAGTATTTTTTATGAGAGAGGTCCATCTCATGAGTAGATGTTAGGAGTCAGCTTTTATACTTAGACAATCGAGGTGATCATTTGTAATTGTCACAATGTCTTCTTTTGATGTTTTGCCCATGTGGGTAACAGCCTGAATAATCTCATGCGGGTCGAATTTTCTGACTCACATACTTCCAACTCATTATGGGTTAAATTTTCTGACTCATGACCTACCTCTATCATAATTAAATTTTCAACTAAGATGCCTCTGGCTCAATTCAATTCAGCCTGTTACCTCTGTCGGAGCGAATGTCTTAGGCTTTCGTTGTGATCGGTCTTCATCCCTATCTCTGTGCTGGCTGTATCGGTGTCCCAACAAGAAAATGCAAAAGGCGGTGATGTGTCCCTCTTTCTTTATGCGGGCCAGAGGGTGTGGAGTCTGAAAGTTACTAGTAGGTACAATTAATTAAATGGTTGTTGGCCTTGTCTTGTCTTGGCTTACGAGGCATCCAAGCGTTTGGAACGCGTATCCATCTTCATCTATAATTAATTCCCACCTCGTTTGTCGGAAGATACAATTGACTTCCCCATTCTGACCGTAGAATGACTTGATTCACAACTATTCTGCTGCTTGGATCGAAGTATCTGTTCAATCTTTTCTTCGTCCGTAATCAAACTCGAAAAGCTATTTCGTCTGTTTCTAAGAAGCAACATTTATTGCTGGCTCCGATGCTCCTCAAAAAAGACATGGAACCCAAATCGCAACGAATCAATCAAGATCCTGATGTGGGCCCCACGACGAGTTGGAATGGCCGTGATCCTGATGATGGATTTAAGGGAAACCCCCCCCAGGGGCGGCACAGACGGCCCTCACCAAACCGGCTTTATTTTTATTTTCTGATGCTGCAGAGAGAAAGAAAGAAATCGGTAGGCATATTTGTGTGCGACGAACCTCACCAAACCATTGCGCACTCAGCTTCTTTTCCTGTGCTTGCCGCCTCGGCCCGCTCTCCTTCGCCTTCGTGCGACTCAAGAAGTTCGATTCCGGTCGCTGCTGGTAATGTTTCCGTCGCCCCTCTCCTTCCTCTCCTCGCCCCCCTATTCCTCTCCGCTTCATTTTGTTTTGGAGATTGTGAAAACCCAACAACTTATCTGTTCTTCTGCGGACCACGTTTTCCCTCCGACTCTTTTTGGTGCATCGCATGACATGTATAACCTTGTTTCTGTGCTGGGAACGCGAATTCCTTCGTACTCTCGATGACTGGATGATGGATAACTGGCCGTGATTTTGTACCCACGATTCTTTTATGGGTATCATAAAGGAAGGGGCCTGGTGTTTTTTAACTAGATAAGATAGATAGATAGATAGATTGGGCCATTCTGTAGCCGTATATCTCTGATATGACTTTGATCCGGGCCCTTTCAATGCTTGTTGAGTTCTTGACTCTTTTATCTATGTATGTGCATGGGCATGTGTGTGTGTTCGATACCCTTCTTTTACCGGGCGATAGTGCATTCTGCTGGGTTTAGAAGCGCTAGATTTCAATTCCTCGCATTGGCGCTTTGTGCACCCTGAGCTTATTCTGCGCCTATCCAGCCCTCGGAGGCTGTAGCTCCTCCTCCCCCATATGGGGTTAAATTGGACCTAGGTAAACATCTGCATACCATGCGCATGTATATGTATGTATTCATATGTGTGAGGTGCCTATTCGTCTCTTGATGCATGCATATGTATGCACCTCCATTTGTTTCAATCCGATCCAGTTCGGTTCGAAGCTAAGTTTGTGGAATTATTGATAGGTTATATTTTTTTACATGGCTACTTTAGGTTGGAAATACGTTGCCCTTGATTTCAGGGAAGTTGTGTTCCATCAGGGTGAAATTGATGTACATCCTTTTGTGGTTTGACAGTCACCTTCCATAAATTTGAAAACTAAGAATATGTCGGCTAGAAGAGACTTTTACATCCTATTTGAGCGGTTGCTCATAGTACGATGTGAGACTTTCCACATCAGCCGGTACGTTGGTTATTCCTGTGTCAAGTTTAACTAGAAGATTGAATTTGTTTACAGGAAAAGACTTGCATTCGTATGACGAGATAAGGAGATGATGATAATGAACTTCGACATGGCTGTTCTCATCAAAGGGAAAATCGGAATACATCACTCCTCTTGTCTTTAAGCGTTGGTTGATTGAGAAGCAAGGATATCCCTTTCTTTTCATTTTCATCGATGTAGTATTGGTTTGCAAGTTCGAACTTTTCTTTATCAATAAAAATTAAAAAAGATACATGTTCCTTAAAATATGTGCCACTAAGAATAAGAATCTTCTGCATATGAGTGTATCAAAAAGAAAAAAAAAGAGGGTGTCATGATAAAACATCGGCATAGTGTATCAGAGAAAGAACGTTATTTTCCAAGGAAGGAAAGCTACTGGACCTCGAAAATCGCAAGATTGGTGCACCTTACAAATCAGCTGCAATCTTTTCTTTGCTTTAGTTTGATTTCATCAGGTCATTTATATGATCTAACATAGCAATAATAGTCAAATATTGTCTGAACAATTGAACATTCCATCATGAAATTTTGCATTCTCGTTCAATATTCATGAAGCTTTGCTTCTCGTCCCTCTGTTTTGTTCAATCCTTTCTTTTTTTCTTCCAGTGTACATTTGCAAGTGTAGCGCAGTGCCTGTCGGATTCTGTTCTCTGTAAGGTTCCATTTCAAGCATTAGAGATTGAGATTCTCAAATGTCTGGTTTGCCAATTGCACAATTTGTCAGAGGTCCTGCTCCAAGAGGTACTTAACTTTTCTAATCCGAGCATGAAAGGTCTCCTTAGATACTATCCGCTTCTTCTTCATCATTATTATTTTCTGTTCTACAATTCCATTTAGAAGATAAACCTTTTAATGTCAGTATTTCATGTTTGTTGACTTGGTATTATCAGTTATCTGACATGTTTGATGTGGACTATCGATGAAATTATGTTTTTCATGGCTTAATTTATTCTTGTTATAATGCTTGATAGCGGTTATATTGTCGTTTATGGACTGTGTTTCTTATGATAATTGTGCTTTGCCTTTTTTTCTTTTTCAGAAAGTAAAAATCTGAAAGTAAAGATTCAATCTTTTCATTTATGATCGAGATGCCTCCAAAGTTATTAGTTTATTTAGTAGTTTTCTTGAGCATAAAGTTCTTCCGACACTTACGAAGAAGAGTTAATTTGTTTACTTGGGCTAACCAAGATATAACATACTGCTGATTTTGATTATGCATCTTTTTCCTTGTTATATTGTTTGCTACACATCAGCGTCTTTTGCTTCATAAATTGTTAAAACTGACATGAATTGATTCTATGATTCTTTTTTTCCCTTCTTTTATCTCTATGTGAGGAGGTGCTGACAAAATTGTCCTCTTGGGTTTAGTTTCTTCAGTTATTGATGTCCTTGCTGTGTTCTAATTTCTTTTGATCTTTTTTGATTTGACGTGCAGCAAAACTAGATCATGGATGCAAGAAGCATACAAGTGGCAACAGTACATTACTGGTATGATGTCAGTTTCATTCATCTATATCTTCTAAATCTAGTAATGATACATGTGGATGGACTGTAATTTCCAAATGCATTTCAGTGCTCAAATGGATCGATGGAAAGAATCAGGGAGCATTTGCTGAAGAGTGAACTTTCAGCTTCATCTTATGACACTGCATGGGTAGCAATGGTCCCTTCTCCGATGTCTCCTCAGCGTCCATGTTTCCCACAATGTCTGAATTGGATATTAGACAATCAACATCCTGATGGCTCATGGGGACTTCATCATTTCCATCCCTCTCTTATTAATGATGGTCTGTCTTCCACTTTGGCATGTATACTTGCACTCGAGCGATGGAAATCTGGTCAAGAACATGTTAGGAGAGGTATATGTAAAACATGAGTCATAAATTTGAACTGTGTGTGCATTAATTGACTGTTTATTGTCATTATTGCAGGTCTCAGCTTTATTGAAAGTAACTTTTCTCGCATTGTCGATGAGCAATTGCATTCTCCTATTGGCTTTGATATTATATTTCCCGGTATGCTCGAATATGCCCTCAACATTGGTTTAGAAATTCCCATCGACCAAAGTGACATAAATAACATGCTTTGCAAGCGAGATGCAGAACTACAAAGGTTGGAATTATTTAAGTAATATGTATTTTCAGGATTTCTCATATTTGAATTCTCCTTTTTTCTTGTGAATCATATGTACGATAGATACCTAGCAATGTTCGAATCTTACACATCTCCTTGACGCAGCACTTACAAGATCCATGAAGCCAGTCAAATTAACAAATAGCAATAATATAGTATGTTATTTTAGCGTGTATGACAAAGGTTTGCAGTTTCAGTGATTACCTGTGCCAGTCCATAGTTGGACTGCATGAGTTTGGTCCGTTCCAGTGTACCTGTGAACCGTTGGAGAGGGGGAGGAGGGGAGGAAGAAGGAAGAGGAAGCAAAGGGAAAAGGAAAAGTATGAAAAAGAGGAAGGAAAAAGGAGGAAGATGGAGAAGGAAAAAGAAGGAAAAAAAGAGAGGCATACCTGAGTGCACAGTGGGCAGCGAGTGGTGAGCTGCAATCTGTGCAAGTGGCGAGTGGCAGCTCTTTGGGCCTCCTCGTGAGTGCAAGGAATCGATGCATTGGAACCCTAACTAAAAGGGTAAAAGAAATAAGATACTTGTATATAATATTTGAACCAGACCAGACTGTCCAGTTTGGGCTGGTCCATGTCCTGTTCGGCCGTTGGCCCGATAAATACCCACTGGACTGTACCAAACCAACCAGTTTAGCAACCCTTGTATATAACACTGACATGAAATTGAAACATTTTACATTTATGTAGATGTTGGGCCTTTGCTTTGTCATTCCAAATATGCCTCGTACTTGTGAGATGCATGCCTCACATCATGCCTAGGCTCTGAGAGACCTTAGCGAGCCTTGAGCCTCTTTATAACTTTGGCTGAGATGATATCGTTCCGCAAAATGGGTACGGATATCTTTCTCATCACACATATAGCTACTAAATTGACCATTCATCTTCTTCTGCTATCCAACTACTGTGTTGAATCTAGTCTACTTGTTATATTCTTGTTTAATGTTTTACCTTCTTTTACTGTAGATTCATCCTTTAGTAACCAAAATTCTATAATGTAATGGAGCATGAATATCTAGATTATGTTTTCTGTGATGGCACTTAAGCTCTGTCTTATACAGTCTTCTGATTGTTGAGGAAGGATAACTTGGTTTGAACACGTTAGAAGACTTTACTGAAAGGTTGACCAAATATTGACAAGATGTATTGGTTCTTATTGCATTTTAGGTTTAGATATATTTTGCTAATATTGTACATTTCAAGCTGGTTTATCAGTAATTTTTTGTACAAGATTTTATATGCTACTTTTAATTATAACAATCTGTACACATTTTTTAAGTTATTTCCGGTGAATTTACTGATAATTAGATAATTACCTATCTTATTGAATTGTTTGCTCATTCTGGTCTGCATTAAGTCAAGAATTTAAATTTTTTATTGTAAAACTGCAAGGGCTCTTTTATTAGTTATCACTTCTTGGTGCAAATGAAAGGCTTCATTGATTGTTATAGAGCATTGTTTCATCCTTGATCTGTTTAATTTATTTTGTCATATTCGTGAGCTTAATATCCAGTTGGCTAATTCATTCCTCTTTAATGCTTAAGTCATGACTATGAGTGAAAGCAATAAAGTGATATCACTATATGTTGTATTTAATGATAATTTAGTTGTTGCCTCCAAGATCATTAAATTAGCAAGAATAGAAACCTGTGGCTAATCACCATATCACTATTTAGTGTCATTTAGAATGAGATTGCTTACATGGTTGACTAGTATAACTAATGGTTTTGGAATGTTTTTGTTTTTTTTTCTGATGAACTATTTTGAGTCTTTATGTTGGGGAACATGTACCATTTGCTTTTTATTATGTGGTGTAGCCATTTGCAATTTTATACATAGCTCTTGCTGGTCCATTTTATGTCTAGATTCTATAAGTAGAAGCAAACGTAAAATAGTATCTTTCCTCAAAAAAATATAAAACAAGTATCTCTATATGTTATATAGAATTATAGATTTCATGGGGTTTATATATTTGCCCTTTTTGTTGATTATCATTCTTGAACATAGTTGAATTTATAATGTGTTGTATTTCGGCACTATATGATCTGTTGTTTGTGGCCTTGTTATACTCTGAAATTGCTCACTCAGAATTATTCTTATATTATTTAGAGAACAAGGAAACAATTGTGAGGGACAAAAAGCCTATTTAGCATATGTTGCAGAAGGATTGGGGAATATATTGGACTGGAGAGAAATTATGAAATATCAAAGGGAAAATGGATCACTATTCAATTCACCATCCACAACTGCTGCTGCACTGATGCATATTTATGATGCTAAAGCTCTCGAGTATTTGCGTTCTCTTCTATCGAGGTTTGGCTGTTCAGGTGACATCATTCCCTTGTCTCATAAGATGTAAAGGTGAGTTTGCTAATATTACACAATTTATTGAATACACTTGTTGGTTTTTCACAGTTCCTACTTCATATCCTGTAGATGTGCATATACATCTTTGCATGATTGATGACATTGAAAGGTTGGGAGTCGCTCGACATTTTAGTCGCGAGATAAAGAGTATTTTGGACAGAATATATAGGTGCCGTGCTAAAAATAAATTTTTTAATACGTTGAGATTTTAATTTAAAATAACTTGATCCTAGCTGAATTTGCAGATGCTGGTTGCTCAACGATGAAGAAATTAGTTCAGACATGGCCACATGTGCCATGGCTTTTCGTCTTTTACGAATGAATGGATATGATGTATCCTCAGGTAATTTGTTTCAGGTTTTGATTCAGCCGGTGTTACCATATCTATTGTGTCGTGGGTGATGGTTAACATGTCTTTGTAGATTGCTTTACCAAGTTCAGCGAAGG